GGTCATAATTTTACTGTTGAGGCTTATGATCAGGAAGACTAATCAGTCTTGTGATGCACACTTTTCATTATTATGAGATTAATTTTTTTTCTCCAGGTGTTGAAAGTAGAAGTACAACTCACTGTTTAATATGCATTCGATGGATAATTTCATATTTGCTTTTCCAGAATTGTGTTCTAAGAAAAGAAAGAAGAAAAAATTTAAAAGATTTTACAAAGTTTATAAAGTGCTCCAGCCTTTTTAACTGGGTGATACATGTAAGGCAAGAGCATAAGCCCACAAAATTTCACAATGGTAGCTCAGAAAAATCTTCAACAGTACATGAAGTGTGACAGTTTCTTGCCTGGCTACTCTCAGGTGGCCTACATTGAGAAATACTTGAAGAATCAAATCCTTTTCAAGATCCCTGAAGTCGAGAGATTTTGTCCATGCAGCACTCAAATACAGTTTTGGAAAGAGGAAGCAAACAGTTTGCATTTTCTTCCCATGTTCTGCAGGAGGAACATAGGAGCTACACAGTGATTGGTCTTGATTTATTTTCTTAACAAATTTATTTTCCTTTGTTATCATAAGCCCAAACATCAGTGTCCTCTTCCTCCATATTTTCCAATGAAAAATATACCTATTGCATAAGGTATTGTGTGTAAAAGGCTTGAATTGATAATACACTTTCACATCCTATGACTTCAATGGCTTTTCAGCATAGAAAGACCAAACAGAAATAAAGTTCTGAATTCATGCTGAATTTTAACCAGATGTCTGTTATCATGGCTTAGCACAATACATAACTATGCACTGAAACATACATTGGACTGGTTCCTAGCAGTGACATGGTTTACATGCTTGAAGTGCAGTCTGCTCGTATGCTTTGCTGAATCTCATTTACTTATCTGAGGAAAACAAGAGTATTTCAGTATGCCACCTGAAGCATCATTGGCCAAGAAAAGTAAGATATTTAACATATGTGAGCATATGTGCCAGTATCTTCTTGGGGAATAGAATGTATGAAAAGGTTTCACTTACAATAACTTAACAAGTAGGAGCCCTAGCCATGGACCACAACTGTAGAACACAATAGAAAGACAGTCTCACTTCCAAAAACTTTACCCTAAAAGAATGAGAAAAGTGATAGACATGACAAAAGGCTAGAAAATATTTCAGATGGCGACAAGAAGTGAAATAAATCTTTGTCTGCTATGCAGTTATGGTTGCACCCCAGCAGTCTACCCACTGATATTTTTTTGCAGACATCAGCAAGGACAAGTTTTGAAGAGACTTGTGAAAAATAAAACATGGAGTGGCTGTGCAGGTTTTACAGGGAGCTCTTCCCAACTTGACAAACTTTGATTAGAAACATTAACAATTGAAAAAGCACTTTGCAGTGATATTACGTTGGATGACTCTGCTTCCTTTCCTGATCAGCTATTAAAATGTTGATAGCACTATACAAGACTTAAATTTATTACAATCATAAGGGAAATCATCAGAAAGGAAGAAATAATTTATAAAATCTGCCTCCTGGATAATTTTTTTGTTTTTTCCTGAATATTTTAGTAACTTCCCTCAAGTTTTTCTCATTTGATAATTTTCATTTACCTTTCTTTTGCTTTGTAGACGCAAGTAAAAAATCTGAAGTTCTACTTCAGATATAAGTGATCTGACATTGCTTTTGCTTTCAGTATTTTTAAGTGTAACTCAGCATGAGGTTTCTTGTACCAAAATTTACAGAAGCTACCTATAGAACTTGTACTCTTCACTATTCAAATAATTGAGCAGAAAAAATTTGTTTGCTTCTGGGCCTGTTAATACAGGTTGAATTCAGTGGCAGAAAGTAAACAGCTAAAATTGACTTCAAGCTATTAAATGAAATATTTACAGTAAAAAATTAGCACTCTTTGTTAGTTCCAGAAATAATAATAAAAGTTTTCTTCATGCACATTTTTAATTACAAGCTGGAATTGTATTTTTAAAAATATTTTAAAATTGCAGACATCTCTATTCGAATTATCTCTAGGTTTACATTATGAAGCACAGCTTGACAGGTTTTTCTTTGATACATATGATTTACAAAGATGCCACATCAACTCCACGCTCCTTGTTTTAAAATTATTTATAGTTTTATAGCTCATACTTACAAAGTTATGCCGGTAGAAGTGGCTTTCAGCACAGGTCTTAATCTTGTCCAAACTTAGCATAAAAGTCAGTTAAAGACAGAAGAGTTCAATGGTTCCTCACATTTATGTATTTAAAGATACTGAATATGCAAATGTTCCCCACTTGAAAAATGTTGTTGCATAAAATTAGTTGACAGAAAGGATGTGTAACAGGTCCCCTGTTTCGATCCTCGGTCAGATCTGCAGCCTGTGGTGTCATGTCCAGCTGCTCTATTTGATACAGAGTGTGACTCATGTGCATGTAAATATGAAGTTTGATAACACCAGGGCTTATTTCAGAATGTTCAATTGGATTTTGCTTTAATAAGAAAGACGGAGGAAATGAATCAAGACTATCAAGAGTTGGCACAAGAAGAACTGCATAGGCAAAACTACAAGTACAATTGAAAGGCTGGATTCAAGATCTTTTTAGCAGCAAAGCAGTTTAACCTAGTAGAGTCTTGATCACATAATGGCAACTAACTAAAACACTCATTCGCTCCTAAGGATTACGGTAGAGGAAATGATTTGGGACCAAGGGATCTTAGAGTGGGTGAGATTTTATCACCATTAGTGCATATTATCCTCAGTAAGAACAGCAGGATTTAGCCAAATACAAAGAATCTCTCACAATGTTTTCTTAACAAAATGTGGTATTTTTGAAAAAAAAAAAAAAAAAAAGGAAAGCTTGCATACCCAGGCAGTTTTGAAGATAGTAATCCCCATCCCAAAATCAACTTTTAAAGTGCATGGAAAGATGGAATGCAGAGGTTTGACAGAAAAGATTTACAAGCTCAAACAGGAAGGTAAACAAAGCAGTGCAAGAAAAGCAAGGCAATTTCCACTGACTGATCACCACAGTCTAATTAGAGCAACAGCATTGTATCCAGTTCCCTCACCTAACAGCCACTGAGGCATAACGACATAAAAGAAACCACCAAGAGGGTAGAAAAGCAATGCGCAGTGGAAAGTTCCATGAAGTGTTCCTGCTGAAAATGTATTTTGCCATAAATGCATCACTCAGGAGGTATGAATTAGAGTCAAGTATGTCTATGTTGAATGACTTTGACAGTAATAAAGTGCCTAGTGATATTACATTTAACATAAAAATTATTTCCAAAGTATTGAACACTAGCTCAAAAGTATAACCACTTCTTGAATTGTCTGACTAATGTATCTCTCTCACAGTGCATAATGCCAGCAAAGGTGCTATTCTGAAGTTAAGTATTTGTTGTGACTGTTTCTCATTTTAGTTGCATGTGAAAGTTGGATTGTTCTTCCAGAATCTGTTGCTTGGCATGAGAGATAATGAGTCCCTCAATCATGCATTATATTTCTAGAAGTGAAGGGCCTAACCCATGTCATATCTTAGAGGTCCAGTTTGGTGTCCTAAAGAATACCATATTCTATGAGTCTACCCTTGTCACTGTCATTCATGGTGATAGGAAGTAACATCTTTAAGAAGAAATGTACAGATGCTGAACCATGGACACAGACAATACAGTGGCATTTGGCTTATAGTGGGCTGGTTGGTTAGCTGTGCCTCCTTGTCCAGCCTGAAACATAAGCTCTTCGTTCCTCACTTCCATGTGATGGTCTTTTTTTCTCCAGATGCCTATTTAATGGTTATTTCCCCCTTTTTTGTGTGTGACTTATGGTATCTTCTGTTTGAGTTCATGCTGCTCTCCTAGGGAAAATGCTGGGTTTAGACACAGATCACGCAGGTTGCTGCATATCGTGTAAGTTGCAGGAAGTGTTAGGATAGCCTCAGCCTTACTGTTTACCTTCTTTGTATTCTCAGGAGGAGTTGGGGCAGTAAGAAATATATGGGCAGAGAAAACTACCTTATTTCCTCTGCTAGCAAGGAGACCTGTAAAAGCTCAATGGTTCTACCACTACTATCTGGCTCAGCTCACTTCCACTCTCCTTTGGAGCAGCAGGTAGCAAAGGTGTCTACTTTTCTGGGGCGCTCTGGGCAGTGTGGCGAAATGTGTTCCACGCCAATTCTTGCCTTGTTATGCTGGTAATTATGTTTTGTCTTCCTCTTATTTTCCATTTCATCATACTATTCCACAGCATCACCAGAAAACTTGTCAAAATCATGATTATTGACTAATGTCTGTTTGCAATGTAGTATAGACAGGGAACATATTCCTTGAATAGAGAGATGTATAACAGTGAAGGGAGTGGTAATTTCTTAGTAATACAGTATTAATGGATCACTGCTGAAATGCACTGCTGTCTGCACCTCTAAAGGAATCTTGATGGCAGGGTCTCAGAAAAGAACTACAAGAATAGTAAATAGTCTGGGAATAACAGTAAGATCATGACAGAAGCTCTATTCATACAGTTAATTAAGAAAGTGACTAGATCATATGCTACAAGTAGCCATGCAGGGAAGAGATTTTTGATAACAAATCGATTTTTAGCACAACAAAGGAAGGCATAATAAGACACAAAGGTTTAATTTAAAATGGTGAATGGAGTTTTCTAGTCATCTAGTATTCTGATAAACAGATCAGGCTTCTCATAATCTCTACTTCCAGCTGATAAATTCTCAGCTTACAACAAGATTTTATATTTTCTCTATAGCACCTTTCTGAAATGCTTTGCAGTTCTTACAGCTGAATCTCATGCCTAGTTCCTCAGGCCCTCAAGGCAATGCAACTATTTTCATTGGTTGCCCTGGTTATTTAAGTTTCCCAATATTGTACTATCAGGAAACTTCAATCCCACTTTTCTTTTATGACTATCAGTGGAAAGATTTCTTCTTAAGGGTCAGACCTAACCACCTACCCATCCCACAGTCTAATGGTTCCTTTTTCAATATTGCCCTAAATCACCTACCATGGTCGCCTCACAGTTGTGCTCTTGAATTCCACATTCTTCAAGCAAGTGAGCAATTTTCTTTTCAGCAGCATAATGAGTACATTGTAAAAGGACACACAGAATATACCCCCTTTATTTCCTTTCTCTTTAAAATGAAGTCATTCTATTTAAAAGAAAAGAAAGAAAAAAAAAGAACAGATCAAGTTAGTTTGGGGTACCCTGCTTTGGTAAACCAATATTCCACTTCCCTTTTACCTGTAGCTTTAATGGTCTTTCCCATCAAGACTTGTTTTAAAACTAAATGTATTACTGAGCCAGACTCACCAGTCTGCAGTGGCACACAGCAGTTTCCTCTTCTTACACAAACACAGGCAAAGCACTTGTCATTAGATCTGGTACTATCACTAATTTAGTAAGCTTGATTTAAAATACTTGCTACTAGATCTATATTTTCATGCCAATCTCAAATAGGACATTTTGTTTACCCTTCTGGCAAAATCAGTTGTAATTTTGTTTTTACTTCAGTTACAGTTATTTCCATTATTTCATTCCCATTTATACTTCATTTTTCTCCTGTAGCTAGTAATAGTCAACTTACTGAAAAGCAGAACAAATTACTCTTTCATTTTGTGTCAATAGCTATTGTTTCTTTAACCCCTTTACCATTCAGCTAATTATTTTATGTCTGTAGCTTTTGTCTTCATCCCTGGGTATCTCTTTGTGTTTAGTGCATCAACAAAAATTGCTGCAGAGTAATTATCTTTTTAACCTATAGTTTTTCAGCTGCTTCTCTGTGGTCATCTATGCCCATCTGGTGGTTAAATCAAGGCAGCTGATTAGTTTCAGTGAGGTCTGAGCTAATGAGTTTTTTCATGACTGGGGTGTGTTTACAGATAATTTCTGTGCCTCAGCTGACAGGTGGTCACTTGCAGAGCTCTTGCTATTCACCAAAGGCGTGTTCTGTATCCACAATTCACCAAACTCTGGTCTTTTGAAATCCTAAATTCACTTACAGGTCTGAATCTCTGCCTCCTTCTAACTAAATTTCCAATTGCCTGGTCTGAAGTTATTTTCTATAATGTCTTCCTTAAATGCAGACTGCTCCAACTATTTATAAGCTTGTAAGTCTTTCTAATGCCCTCCAGTTGTGTCAGAAATTGTTGGTGAAGAAATGTGCATGCTGTAACAGCACAGAGATTTAACTCTGTCTTCAGAATGTAATACAACTGTAAAATAAAAGTCTTTCATAACGACATATTCTCACTCAAATGTCTTTTTCTAGTATAAGCAATGAACCAGATTATTTGAGTAAGCAGTTATATTTTTTTGCGCGTAAGAGTGGCAAAAGGCATGATTCCTTGCATTTTTATTTAAAACTGTGGGAAATATGAAAAAAAAACCCCTCAGGCTGCTGGGGAGATGATTGACTTATATTCAGTTTTCTAAATGTTTTGACCCCAGCAGTGTCCAGGAAGTATCACATTGCACTGAATAAAGAACACAACCCATAATCCAGTCTAGAAGTTGCCTCCTTTTAGCAATTACTCCCTTTTGTCACCTTTACATGCTTATGTGTGAAGCCTGTGGATCCCAAAACTCGTAAGTTTTGGACTAAAATTCATGTCTCTTATTATTATCTCCTCATGTGATCTCTCACTTTGAGTGAAGCGATTCCAGCACAAAAGCTGACCAAACTTTCTTCTACACTTTTTGACTATGGAAGGTGAAACACATAGTTTAGGCTGTAATCTTTAAGTATAACCTTGATAGTGACTCCTGTTTATTCCCAGAATTAAAAGGACTTTCAAGAAAAATAACTATAAAATTTTATTAGTTGTCTCTCAGTTATTGACTAATACTCTCTCCAGGTATATGTTTTCTTATACTTTGACAAAAGTACCCACCTGAGTGAAACCACGGTCCTTTTGATGTCAAAGGCAAAACTTAATTTCATGACTGGATTTTACCCTCTGGGTTATATTTTCAAAATATACATTTCAACAGTATAAAATGTCCTGTATATCCCATGCCAACACCACCACACATAGTAGGACATTCTTGCATTGGCATGAACAATCCTGGCACCACCCTTCCTGTGGTTTTGCTTTTTCTGTGCATAGGCACTTAGTTTTAAATTTTGGGAGAAAATACTATTTATACACCCATCTATATAGCATGTATATCACTGCTGGTGCAAAATAAACAACACTGGTAATAAATAACAATAAAATTATGCTTGTTTTGCTTCTTACATTGTCTTTACATTATCTCTAACCAATGGTGTATTGATTTTACATTTCTCAAGTGTTTTTCTATTTTAAAGTCCTTCGCGGTGCGGGCCTTTATTATAGCAGACTGGTTTTTGATCCTCATCATAATGGGTGTTCTCAATACCAGTAGCCTTTCCAGCATTCTCATCAGAGTAAAGTGCTCATGATACATTTACAATAATGTGGTAAGCAAAACACATTTAGAATTTGGTTTTCTCCATTATATTTCACATCACTCTAAAAACCACCAGAAAATACAAAGCATAAGGACGTTTAATGTATTTTTAATGGACATTGTATTGTTTCCATAATGCACATTTTTCTTGAAAACAGATTGTTTCTTTACCATGTTAGGCTGAAGAATTCCTTTTGATAGGAATGCATTCTTGATTTGACTGACTGAAGACGCATACTTACCAAAAATTCTCATTGGTTTGGCTCACCAGGATGTCAGAGAACACAAACCTTCTCCAACACATTAAAGATACAGTAACAGAAAGGAATAATAAAAATTAAATGCAATCCAGAGAGGAAAAATTACAGGTTTTAACACAAGGATCACATAAAGATAGCCCCAGAGAATCAGGAATGATGGACCAGTGCTCTTTCTCCAGTCTTTTTTGGATAACAGCAATACACGTGTTTTATGAAAATAAAAGTCTTTATCAAAACGATTTATTTTCATAAATATAAGTTGAGTAACAGGTAACTATGCTTCTTTGAGAAAAACAGCATTTGAAAATTATTCTAAAATAACCTTCTGTGGTAAAAGACCAGCACGAAACTAGACATGAACCATGGGCACAAGAACCTTTGGCATAGACAGAACATACTTACAGGAACAGCACTGAAAGGATTACTTGGCTTCTGAGAAAACTTGTCCCTTGCAAGCATAGATAATCCTCACCAGAGCTGAATAATAGAAATTTATATTTAATATACAATCCGTGGTTCTTATGTATAAAAATGTTCTCTTTTTTCATAGATTGCCTTGTGTAAGCATGAATATATGGAGAAGTATAGATGGAAAATGTAAAAACTGAAACTGAAGATCAAAATTATCCAGCTTTTACAACAAACAAACAAATGAACAAAAATTATGCATGTGATTTAAACAGATGTCTTACATGTGGAGGCTGCTTATATTTTCCCACTCCCTGTAGTGTTTCTGTATATAGTTATACTGCATGATACACAATTCTAAAATGCCAGAGAACTGTCATACACTATACTTGTTTTCATTGGGTGAACAACCTATGCCAGAGCTCCTTGATCAAACACCATTCAACAGTCCCACAAAATTCTATTAAACAGAACAGAAAAAACTTTTCTATCAACACTCACACTTACTGTAAATATTATCTTCTTACTCAACTGATCTGCTTCCTCTCTGATTATTAGGTTTGTATCTACTAACTTTATTGACATAAAAACTTTTACTTAACTTTATAAGCCCCGCGAACCATTACTAAAAAGTGCTTATTACTAGATTTACTCACATTTGTGCAAAACTGCAGAGTTGTTTGTTCATTCTACTCAGACCTAGGGTTTTTCAACCCTATTAAAAAAATAGAATTAACATGGAAATCACCAGGAGACTAATCCAAATTTTTATAACTAGTGAGAAAATGTAGTCAGGAAAGATCTCATTGTTTGCTCTCACAATTTGCAGCTTTGGCAGTTTACACAACACTTTTTTTACTCTATAAACTGGGTTCTTTTATTTTTTGATTGTTCAGACTCAGCAAACATGGAACATATTTATATCAGTTTTATTCCCTTTTCAGATTAAACGTAAGCTTTAACTGTTCTTGAAAATCGGTTCCCAATTCTATGGTTCACAGAGCACAAAGTGCCCCACCATGTGAGCTGTGCCTTCATATACACCTGACCTACTCCAGTTTCCTGGCCTATCTTCACAGCTCAAAGAGAATTACAGAAGATAAGTTCTGATGCAGTCGAGTGGCTGCAGGCTACTGAAAGCAACATTAAATAAATGAACTATTGTTAGCTATCAGTTTGACTGTCTGCCAACCAGCTAAATGAATCACTTTGAAAAATTAAACAAAAAGAGGTTTAATTTGACACGACTGTTGTTTGACTTTCCGCTTTTTTGTTTTAGTGGGGACCCAAGGCTGATGCCATGCCATGCCAGCCAGAGAATAAGCACCACATATCTGTCCATTACCAACCCACAACTAATGCATTAAACCCTCTTATTTTTCACTTCTATTGTTTGCAATTAGAAATCTGCAGTGTAGACCCATAAGTCTACAATAAAGCCCCTGGATATTTTACAACTAAAACTTCTCTATCCTCTTAATATGTTTACCTGGTTTTCTTTGCTCTTAATGTAGTAAACAAACCTGGAGGGATACTGAACACAGATAGCAAAAAAAATTCAGGTCTTTTAGCAGTTTATGTGTGTCTTCAATCTCTTTAAAAAGCTGAAGGGCGGGAGAGGCAGGGTTGCTACAATAAAGTGTTTTATACAGTAAATTCAGCTTGGTTGCATAAAATGTTAATGTTGGAGTAAATCACCAGTTTGGCAAATAAAGTTAGCATGAGGCCTGCTGCCTGGCCATTTACAGTTTTGTGTTTCTTCTCTTCAATAGGTTTCTTTTCCTTATTGCTACTTACAATAAATACTGTGGGCCAAATTTTCCACCCTGCTACAGCATGTGACCACATTGGCACTAATTCGGTAACACTGGTGTAACCAAGGCAAAAGAATTTGCTCTTCACATTTATAGCCTGCCTTTCATCTGAGGATATCAAAGAACAGGCCTGACCAAAATCAAGTTCCATGATCTAAACACTCCAAAGCTTTGGGAAAGTACAGAGCCAGCCTTTGCAGTCAGTTCTATTTCTGATCCATATTTAAGGTACTTCTGCCTTGAACCTAGAGATGAAATTAGTTACAACACTCTCAACGCAAAAAGGGAATCTGAAGGGAACACTGAGAATTATTAAAACCTGTAACCTGCTTCAAAATTAACTTCTTGTTTAGAGACATAATTGTGGTTCTAGAGGGAATAAGTACAAAACAGTTCTGAATATTTTATTTTCTGCCTAGCGAAAACCCAATTGCAAGAAAAAATAAAATCTATCTAAGGAATTTGAGAACTTAGTTCAAGTTGCCTGCAGAAAGAATTAAACAAAATAAACCCTTAGTATGATACACATTATTCCATGCCCTCTAATCACAACAGCAGAAAAGCATTTCAGTTTCTTAAGTCAATCAATCAATTCAGTCAATGCAATATATGTTCTGCAGCATTCAGAAACTAAAAGGTGAAAAATACAAAAGTGTCATCACTACAGAAGAGAATTCATTATTTTAAAAGAACCTGCAGTAGGGGTTATTTGTATTGAGTTGTCTTCCACTGTGAGAGTCTATTGAAAGCATGACCTTGTCTGCTTATGGACCCTGGCTTTGCCAGATCCAGAACTCACCTGGGCAGATGGCTGGGCTGCTCTGAAGGCAACACAGCCCGTTTCAACTTGTGATGGAAGTAACAGGCATGAACCTTTTTCCCTCCCTGCAGAGGAGGCAAGGGGAGGTCAGCGAAGTTTCCTAAGACCTTGTTCATGAGCAGACACTAAACCCACAATTTTTTCAAGCTACTATCAAAAGTATTAAAAAAAAAAGGAAAGAAAAAGAAAATTGTAAATATGAACGTAGGCTAGGGAATGACTCGGTAGAAGTAAATCTTGAACTGAATTAATTGTCTTTAATTTTTCTCATTGGTTTCTAAAAACTACAAGGGTGGGAAGGAGGAAAGAATAATTAGTAGAAAACACACAGCTAAGAAATTTAAAACCCCTAGGCTTAGCATGGCACAACACCACCTCTCTATACAGAATTCAGCTGTGGGGCAGATGAGAGCAAAACAACATTTCTAAAAGCTGTAAGTCTCCTTATGTTGTCCTAAAGTATGACCAGAATGCTAATGGGGCAGAGTCAGGCTCTGTTTCATGGACCTCCCACCAAGTTTATGCTTCATGCACTACACAGAAAGAAAAGCTTTGCATGTTAGACTAAAATTAACTCTTCCTTTTCTTCCCTCAAAATGAAGAAAAGAAGCACTATGCATGGCTGCTGTGGGCCTGGGAATCCAATTCCCTCAGCTGCTCTCAACACCATCGGCCAGATTGTAAGGAGCAGCACAACTATCAACAACAGCTTCTCTGCCATCAGTGTTGCAAGCTGAGTAGTCCTTCCAGCAAAAGGATTTCAAGACAAAGGATTTCTATCTGCCTAGATCACCCCCGTGAGCTGCTGAAAAGACATGTCAGAGATGACTTCTCTGGCATATGGGTTTGTACCATATACCAGACAAATCCTCTTGACAAACTAACTTCCACATTAAAGTGAATTTTAATTTTGGGTTAGAAATGAATGGACGTAAAACAGTGCAAGTATCAGACACACTCCTCTCTCAAAATGAGTGACAAAAAAAAGCACCTATCTTTCTGCAGTCTTTTCTACCCCTCAAATATCTGTTCCTTTACCACATATATTTTACAGGATGAAATTTTTCATTGAATAATTGCCAACAGGCAACATCTACCTTTCTATTTTCTGTGTTTTATAAAATGAATCCGAGCTGCAAGCTCTTAAATGCAAACCAGCTACTTTCACATTTTTAGTATTTAGCATTTGAGAGCAACCTAGAAAGTCAATAATAGCTGTCTAATGCTTTCGTGCTCTTGACAGACTAAATGTAGGTTCTCTGTTTTGAAAGGAGGGGGAGATTTCTAAGAAGTTCTAAAAGCAAGCATATTATTTGCAAACTACTGAATTTTAATATACATCCATATATGTTTGAATAGTAATAATAGAATTGTTACTTGAGGTTTCCCCTGAGAAAATATACAACTATTGTATTCACCTTTTAGAACATTTCTTCCAACAAAAGAAATATGTGTACACAGCCTCTAGGTCAACATTCTTCAAAAGAAGGTCCCTGTGTATTTTTGTAACAATTGCCCTTTCTTTCCATTTCATTCTCACTACAAATCTCAGATTAGTAAATGCTAAGAAATGGGGATTTTGTGGTGTTCGAGATTAAATAAATTAGCTCTGAAAAATCCAATTTACATGCACAGAAACACATCGGATTCACTCTTCTAACCTACACCTTATTTCACAAAACCAACAATGAGACCTGAACAAAATCATACGGAAGAAACCAAAAAACCCCAAGCCCTTTGTTTTAGTATTTGAGCCCTAAGAGCAGGGAAAGGAGAAAAAGAATTTACATTTGAGATCTGTACAGACCACCTATCAGTCTTGTTTACTCAAAAGTCAAAAAGAGAATACCAGCACATACCATCGTAGAGAGTCTGAGGATGACTAAAGAGTGTCTTTTCCTCATGGTCTCCATGCAAAAGCACACTTGAACACAGGCACTAAGTTTCTCTAAAGCCTTTGTGCCGTAGCCAGGATACAGGCACTCAAAGCAGGACTGAAGATGGAACTGAGACTCCGAGACCAAAATTGGGATCCAAATAAGACTCATCAGCTCTTGCCTAATCTTGAAGTTGCTTAATTTCACCCAGTAAGTATGTATCCGTTTGATTCAGTGCTTGTTCTGAAGTTGCCAGCCTAGTTATGGTTAGGATCCAGAAAAAACATATTCCAATGCCTTAAAATCTCTGAGTAACTAAATGCAACAGAGATTCAGAGAGACATTTAACACATGTTCATGGAACTGGACTTTCTAGAGACATCAGTTGTGAGCCATCAAGATGTGGGTGCACCCAGGAAGCTAGAAATGCAAATTCCACAGCTTAAGGACATATTTTGAGAGTACTCAGATTCTGCCTCTGGAGCTGTTGGCTAATATGGAGGCTATCATGCTTACAAAGATCAGTTAGGGTACAGCAATTTACAGCACAAAGTATGTTTCTTAACAGTAGCAATACAGACCACTTAACCAGATGGAGTATTCTGGTTCTGGTGTTCGCTCCTAAGGCTGGAATAAGAACAAAAATCCAGAATCATCACTGTGAGGTATGTGTCCTAAATAGGAAGTACACAAACAGGTTTCTTCTTGGCCTTTTTGGATCAATGAATCTTGAATGCTTTTCTGGATGGTGTCACAATTTCAGTAGTATGGGCACGGTGTAGTTTAAAGGCATCTTATGGGAAGTAAGAATGATCATTTCCTGCCCTTGGTTATATCAGACTTTTGAATCTCAGTAAGTGCCCCTGCCACATCAACAACCTAAAGTGGAACAACATGCACCTCTGTACCATCACCACCATGTCAACCTGGGAGAATGAAACTGAAGTGCACAGCCTGAACTCAAAGCCTCAGTGTGTTTATGGCCAAGTCCCTGATGAGATCTTCAAGAGACCAAGACTGATATGTTCACTTCGCAGTCCACTGATCTGCATCAAGATTTGCCCCTCAAGACAATGGCAGTGATCCCTACCCTTCCAAGCCCTCAGATTGTTAGTCCTTAAACTGTCAGTCAATTAAGAGAAGCAGATGGTTGCCACACTATCAACAAATGTGTGATCAAAGTAACACACTGAAATTTGAGGGTCTCCCATGAAAAGGGTTCTAGACCAGGCATCCAAAGTCAGAAATATACACCCTTTGAAATCAGATTTGCTTCTTCAGCAGAGAATCAAGATAACATTTCTTTCTGGTCCTCTGTAGAAAGTCCCCTTCACAGGTCTCTTGCAGATGTTTTTTTGGTTCATCCTCTCTCCCCACGCTTAGCACAGCTAACACCAGCACTTAGCGCAGGATGTGGGATACAGTCTACAGTGCCTAATTTAAAAATGCCTAATTTTTAAACAACCTTTACAAGGGCTAGCCCTTAGTCTCTGAACTAAACCAATTGCTCAACTCTTGTGAAATTATAGGTGTATTCAAAGGCACACTTTAAATAACAGTCTGTGAATAAGTTCTATGCTCTTGTGTTTTGGGCTCAGCTAGGTAGTGTCTACAGTACTCTGTGAGGCTTCTAGTATAAAAAGCTCTGAAAACCTTGCTATTTCAGATCAGTAAGTCAGGAACTTAACTAATACTTAAACTAAGGGAAATGTCCTCACAAAGTGCTTAACTGAAATCTATATAAAAATTTAAGTTAAACCAATGCAACTTGCTTCTGCAAGCTCAGGGCATGCTGCCCTGCATTTATTCTGCATATTCAGACTCCTCCAAAGGGAGCACAGGGCATAAGATTATAAGAACAGTCCATTCCATATAATCCTAAATTAACTTGCAGAAAGGCCAGCCAGTGCTGGTTAAGGCCATTATGGTTATGGGTTTAGTACATACTGTTCCCTCTAATACCCTCACTGCTCTACATTCTTAATCCACTTGAGCGTTGCACATGCTCACTTTCAGTGCAACATTTGTATTTCACCTATCATGCAAAATTCCTCACACCGTCACTATCAGGCCTACCAGGAGACCTAGAGACTTTATAGCCCTTACACGTAGTTCTAACAGAAGGCAGCTTAGTTTATTGCTCTGTCCCTAGCAAAGTCTTTACATTCAAAGCCAGTATGTGCTAGAGAGCAGGCACAAAGTAGACTGTCTTTATTTCTTATAGCTGCTAAAAACCAAAGAGTCGGTTGCTATATGAGAAGGGAAGTGAAATAAGGTAGATACAGCAAAGGCTGCCTGTCCTCTTCTATGAGTCACCAGTTACCCATGCTTGCATGATCTGAAACCTGAATTTTAAGAAAGATGAATACTTAGAAATAAAAAATCTGCTCACTTTTTAACTGAAACTGAATTCATGTTTCATATGTGGAGTTAGGAGACTTTCATAAAACCTCCTATCTGGCCTTGGATGATTCTGAGGTATTTTTGTTGGGCCCCAAACTCTATAAACTAGCCACTACTAACAGCTTCCTTCTGTGAGAGGCTCTGTTTCAAACTACAGCAAAACTCAAAGGTTAAATCCAAAATAAACAGTTCCTGTAAAAGTAAATTGATAAATAGCTCCCCTGTAATCATATAATTAGTGGTACAATGTGCTAACCGCTTTTGTGAAAGCAATTTAAATGCTCACCATTCACATTGTCAAAAATATCATTGACCCAGTTGCTTAAAAACAATTGCTGAAATGAATGTTGGTCTCTACCGCAATTATTAATGCTGGGGCAGATCTTGCTGTGTGCAGACAGCAACAGACCCTCCATTGGTACACATCCGTGCTGTGATTTTTTTATTATTTCCTAAGAAAATCTGAAGATTGAAGCAGGGTGGCAAGGATCCACATCTGGCCTATTCACTTATCCCCAGTCATCGGATCCACTAGTCAAACTTCCAACATACTGAGGATCAGTAGCTCTTAGGAAAAATTGTACCTCAAGGAATTCTAAACATTTGATATCTAAAGCTTCAGTAATACAATCATACTTCATAGAACATGGATGTGATTCCCTAAGGCTTTCACATCATAGCGATAGACCCTTACATTTCCAACCCAAGTAAAACTCAGGGTAACAAAAGGGATTTTAAGGAAATTTTCCACCCCTCATTAGGAAACAGAGATCAAGATGATCAGAG